TTGAGTATCTTTCAATGGACCAGGTACCATTCTAAGTGACAGGAGCATGTCAATTTTCAAAAAACCAAGATGACACTTTTCCACATAGAGCTTATGGTCTAGATCCAATTGAGCTTATATTCATATACTTATAAAATTACATATTTATGAACATGATATTTATAAATATATATAAATTTTACATGTGTAAAATTTTTGTTATATATATATATGACATTATTGTCTTAAATTTGCAGAAGTGGAAATTGAAACTCAGAGAGGTAAGTTTGTCCAAGATCTCAAAGCCTAGTTAATTATGTAATGATCAGTTATCTCTTAATAATTATCTGCTAATAAAAGTTAGCAAATTATATCTGACTATAAGAGTCACATTTCCCAGATAGCCACTCTGAACTAGAAGAATGTACACATACAAACAAACAAACACCTGAGAGTCCCGCCTCTTTTAGTAGCAGCATTCACATTTTGGCTTCCCATGAGTGAACTTTGTTGAGTTTCCAGATTCTGATCTCTTCTTTCCTAATCAGATCCTCACATGCTTGTTTTTCTCTATTCAGTTAAATGTAAGGGCTTTTGAAACCTTCCCATTTTTGTGATTTACAATAAAAAATATGGGCCTAGTATCCACTAAGCTGCTGCTAAGGATGGAACAAAAATTTAAATAAAAATTAAAATGTTGAATCTGGGCTGAGGGTGTAGCTTAAGTAGTGGAGCGTGCTCCGAGTCCCTGGACACTGAAATAAAATACAATAGAATAGAGTAGGATAGGACAGCATAGGATAGGATAAAATAGAACAGAATAGAATAGAACAGAACAGAATAAAATAGAACAGAATAGAATAAGGGATCTGTCCAAATCTAAATCTACTGGTTTAGCACTTTAAACATCCCCTTTGCTCGCTCTTTCTCTCTCCTTGTCTTTCTTTTGTGTGCATGTGTATGTATGTGTGTGTGTGTTAATCTTGCAAGTTCTTGTAATGATAATCTAATATGACTGTTTATTATGATTTTAGGTTATTTTCAGTATAGCAAGCAATGCACATGTAAGAATAAACAAATATATAAATGTAAGAACAATCACTTAAAATTATTCCATTTAGAAACTTTGCATTAACCCTTAGTGATCTTCAACTTTTCATCTCTCTATCATAAGGCTTTCTATAAATAATTATGAATGAGTTGATTTATTCAATTAATAAACAGACCAATCTATATAAAATAAGTCAATAATATCAATTATCTTGGCAAACTATTTGCTTAAATTGAATAAAAATCTACATGAAAGTGTCATAAGTATAACATATGTGGCAAATATGATGCTCTGTATTATTTATTTGTATTTTTTTATATACAGTGTATGTGAAGACATTTTAGATGAATAGTAAAACATTAAATATTTCAAACTTGTAGGGAACCTAAATCTCTTTCTCAAATTGACTTACCACATGACTGAATCTACCAGAGCTTATGAAAATTTATTACATTTCATCTTGAACCTCATTTGGGAAAAAGGACAGAGTTTCTCTTCAAATTATAACCCACAAAGTTACTGTGATTCCATATGTACAATCAATACTGATGATTAATAATGAAAGGAAAGACTGCCTTGAACCTGGCACAACATTAGCTTCAGGGAATCTGCAGATTATCAGGGGATGTGCGGTTCCATGCTGGCGACATAGACCATGGTGCTCAATTTTGGGCTTTGGTGAACTAAAGTTTGTTCAGTAGACTTGGCTAATTTCCCTTGGGAAATCAGTTCAGTAAAATCGATAGGTAGCTCTCAATCTTTGGCTTTTAAAGGGACAATTTTACAAAATTAATACTGCAAACTTTATCACAATCAGAACATAGATAAACACATATACTCTCACTGGAGCACCTACATAACTTAGGTATCACTTATATATGTGTAACATCAGTGTGAAACAACAAAATGAATGTAATTCAACACAGTATGAAATACACTTCTACATGGAACATTTATAGAAATGTGACGTATCAGAAGTATGACTCAGGGAGAGACAAAAGGTAAAACTGATGGTTTATAATCGTCCAAACATCCTGTTTGGTCCATTTTTTATTGTGAGAGAAATTAATACTGTCCATGCAGAAATATATTCACTTATGACTATACTTACCTGAAATAAATTCTTTAGAAAGGCAGTCTTATGATTTACAAAGCACTTCCCCACTCTTTTTTACTTTTCTACTGTTCTTCCTGCTTTCCCTCTTAATTTAAAAAGTGATTAACAGAATTTTCTATCCTATTCTAAAGTCTCTGAAACTTTAAAAGAGCCACTAATGCACCTTCTCCAGATGAGGGAATTTGTTCCAAATCTTCCTCCTTCCGTCATGTATGAGAAGATAGTTTTTCATAGACTTCAGGGATTTCTGCACATCTTGAGACCAGAGGCTCTGATGGTTTCTGTTCCTAACTACCTTTTATAATGTTGGAAGATAGAAGTCATTCTTCCTTTGGAGTAAAGGGAAGATTTGCTTAAAGTCCAATATAATAAAGATTATTTTTCTTTCTGTGGCAAAGAAGCTTTCTTACTGCATTATAAAGAAATTGAGTTAGTTTAACAAAATGTACTGAAAACTGTCGAAAATGAGGGAGGAGGGAATTAATAGAGGGAACTAATCTGATTAAAGTAAAATACATTCATATGTAAAATACTACAGCACAACCCCTTTAAAAATAATATTCACTTAAAAAATGAAGGAAAGGAATGTATAAAACCGGTCTGGTTGGGGACGTATTAGCAGGAGAAAGGAGGATGAATGGAGAAGGTGAAGAAGGGTGAATGTGGCCTGTGTATTTTAGATACTTTTATGAAAAATCAAACAATGAAAACTGTTAAAATTGTCTTAAGAAGTCAGTAGGGAAAGGAGGGAGAATGATGGGAAGGGTGAATCTAACCAAGATGCATTTTAAGTATATATGGATATGTCACAATGAAACCCCCTTGTAAAATAAAAATATTAAAAAGAGATACAAATTAACAAAATAATAGATTAATTCCAGAAAATAAAGATAGGAACACACACACAAAGAAAAGAAAAGAGGAGAGAAAGGAAAAGAAAGGGAAGGAAGCAGAGGAGAAGAGGAGGGAAGGGGAGAAGAGAAGGGAGGAAGGGAGGGGAGGGCAGGAAAGGAAAAGAAATCGAGAATCTTATGTTTAGGGTGCTTCAGCAATGACATAAACCCACTGCATATGTTTATCACTATCATATCACCTGTAGGACTTAGATCCTGAGGGACTGATATAAGAAAATGACAACACTGGGGCTATTGCTACCATGATGAGTCATAAACTGCTTGTTGTCTCTCTCTTCTGTCATCATCCACAAAACTGGCAGAAATACATAGTTTTTATCATCTTGTTTTTCCAGTTTTTGTCCTTTTGCTTGTATGGGATGGATTCTTTTCTCTACCCAGACCCTTTAGATGATGTCTTAATTGGGGTGATGTGTCTTTATTTCTATTTAGTTTTTCTCCAAGTTACTGCTTCCTTAACTTGATCTTCTCAGTTTACAGTACCTACTTGTCTAGGAAAATAGAAAATCAAATGCAATAATAACAGACAGTGAACTAGAGTCAGAGAGATGAAAAGATTATAGGTGGAGATGACACATATTTCATTTAGTCCTATCAGAGGCATCCTTTTGAATACCTATGAGGTCTGGAAATTTGAGTAGGGTCATTGCTGGACTGAGTCTCTAGCTTATTTAACAACTTTGACTCTAGTTTTTCACTTTTCAGTGCTAAAAAAAATTACATATCCTGTTTTCTTTTTCCCAACTTGCTAAACCTCCAATAATAAAATCAGTACACCCAACTCAAATAAGTATGGTCAGTGGTAAAATAATCAGGAATATTTTCTTGTTTGTTACTTTTCATTTCAAAGAGAGCAGTTACTTCATCCAATAAAAGTCCTGAGGATCAGTGGGACCGTGTCAAAATGCAGAAATCTAAGCCATACAACCTAGGAATTCTGAGTCAATTGGGCTGATTGAATTGGGGCTTGGAAATTTCTCACTTTTAATGAGCTGCTTGGTGATTCTGTAGTTGTTTGTCTGATTATCACTGAGAAATTCTGCTTCAGAAACTGCCTCCCGATCTGGTAGCATGCACATTTGCTCAGCTTAGTAGAAATAGTGTAGAGTCACTGGCAAATGTTAGTTGACAGTGATTTGCTTTGGCAGATAGCTCAACTGCCAGGAGTGTTTTAGAAGTTATTATTTTTGCCCATGAGACTGAAAGACTCATATTCATATGAAATAACTTCTGATTAGATTTAACATTTCTGGATATATTTGGAATAATTTCTTATCATATGTGGTATAATGCTATGTAAACATTATTACAAAGGGTCATATATAGAAAGATACATAAATGCAAAGAAAATAATGCAAGAGGTAGCCTGTATATACTTTTGTAAAATACAATTATCCCAAAGGTGTTTTATTCAAAGAAGTTAAACAATGTGACAATTTTTTGAAAGAAAGAACAAGGGGGTATTATTGAAAAGTAATGATTATTCTAGTCACTAGTGTTGAGATAATAAGATATGCAATAAGAAATACAAGCATACAGTACAAATTTCTCTTTGAGCAGAGACCAACATACTCCATTAGGTCTGATGGGAGTTACATGCCATACTAGTCCCAGTGCCCTCCAAGTGAAACCCAAGACTGGAGTGTTTTAAAGACAAAGACAGCACCGGTTAGAATGCCAGGGACTGGACTAAGTTAATATTGGAAACATTTCAGTCTGCATACCAAACTGAATTACTAGGGGAAACATCAGTTGGGATAATTGATGCTACATAAAACAACTTGATCAATATTCTAACATGAATACATTTTTTCCTGTCTGCAGGTTATATTTACCAACACACCATCTCAAAAAATAGCAATGCCAATTGCAGTCATTCTTTTTCATGGTGTTTAGTCTTTTCTTAGAAGTTAACTTAATAAATACTGATGAGACTTACAGTTCACGACAACTTTTACTTTCTTCACATCTGGGAACGACACATCATTTTCGGCACTGCATTCATATTCCCCAGCCTGGTCCCTTGTAATTCCATAAATGTCCAAATATTGTCCATTTTCAAATGGTTTTGCTATAAAAAAATACAACATGTTTAATTGTAGCTACCTGAGGCTTCACTCAAGTAAAACAACAATCTCATGACTTCCTACTAGATATTGCTGACAAAACAATTCCAAATGAAACAGGGGAATTATTAAACTCTTTGTTCTCCTATATTCACAGGAAAATTTAGAGAAAAAAGCAGAAGCAGAACAAAGGGTACTATAACAACTGTTTCCCCAGAACAGGATATACATGTGTTCTTTTTAAATGATTATGGTCTTCTAACCTCCTCACACATCAAATGGAGCTCTGCACATTTCTGTAATTGAGTTCAACAACCTCCTAAGCAGCATAGATGAAATTCATTAATATGACTTGGTACGTATTGACTTTTATACAGTATGAGCTTGCAACTTGACACTTAACCTAACTAAATGTTACTTTTTTTGGGGGGGAAATTTCCTACTTATACTCAGGGTTTCAAAGCAGATGGCTTGCTGAAAGTATACAGCTCTATAAAAACCATTGCCATATTTCTTTTTCCAAAAATTATTAATGTTGCTAAGGAAGTTACACTGTAAGTATTATATGTAAATCCCACAGTAAATCTCAAACAAAAAGTCTTAATGACTTTCAAACTAGGAATTAAATGGTTATAAAAATAAAGTAAGTTGCCTGTATTTTTTAGCATTTCAAGGAAAACATTCTTTTTTCTTTTTTTAAGAAAAATAGCAGTAGATTAAAAATATAAAGATATAGTCACAGATGAAATAATATTCCCAAGTGAAGGAGATTTGAAATAAAGATTACTTCCTTTAGACATAGAACTTTTATTCAATTGAGAGTAGAGGATCATTGGGCAGTAAGGATTCTGATTATTAGAGGCATAACAAAGGAAGATGGGGCCTATGTGAATTTCAAGAGCAGGGACCCTCTTCTTTTTGTACAGGTCTTGAAAGCTCACAATTCAATACATACCAAAAGGAATTGAAAGTGAAGAAATGCTTCCATTAAATGGTCTGTTTTCAAAAGTCAATGTTATTTTTGTCTTCATCCTACTGTCTTACCAGAACTATTAAAATGATGTAGAGTTGGAAAACTAATAAGATTCAATTTTAGTGAATCAAACAAAATAAAATTTAGTTATGGCCTTCCAAATCTAAAATCTATATCAATTAATTTTTCTCTTGTGGGTTACCTTGTCTGGTCTCATATTAGCTGTTACACAGTCTGCCCTCCAAGCAACAATGACTTTGCTAATTGAAAACTTGATTGTTTAGATTGATAGAATTAAAGTGTTTTTCATTTAGCTACTTGTCCCTAGATTGTTGATTGGGGAGAGTTAAATCCTGACATGATAGTTGGCTGATAAACTAGTAAATCTGATGTAAGTTTGCAAAAATAACAGTTAACTTCACAGTTGAAATCTTATACTCTGATTTTTTTTATCATTCTTCTAGCTCACTCCTGTTCCCGTATGTGTTTTCTATTATTACCTCTTTTTTGTCTGATTTTTTACCCTACAATGAAGATTTTCTTAGGTTTTAATGTGTCTGTAAAATTATTGAAATATAGTGGACTATTATTTTCATATCTAAAAATTTTTAAAGTACCAATTGAATTACAAAGTTAAGAACATATCAAGCACAAATTAAAGTATGGGGACCACTAACATATTACATTTGACCTCATTAGGCAAGAAAAATTGAAGCCAATCAAAAGTAAAAAGGTATATTTTTGTTAAACAATGTAAAAACAAATTTATTAAGGTCTAATTTATTTTAAAGATGAAAATGTTACTTGAATATTCCTAGTTTTGTGTACTAACACAATTTTAAAGAAATGTACACTGTGGGTGGAAATGCAAGCTAGTGCAACCACGCTGGAAAAAAATTTGGAGGCTTCTTAAAAATCTAAACATAGATCTGCCATATGATCCAGCAATGGTGGGGGGAAAAGGAGGAGAGGGTTGGGGTGGGGGGCAGGGGGGAGAAATGACCCAAACAATGTATGCACATATGAATAAATGAATTAAAAAAGCAAGAAGGAAATGGTATCTCAAATTCAAGTCTTTGATAACTGGCATATATTGCAATCTATTGGTTAATCAACTATTATTTAACTCTTAAATAGATCATTAAATATGGTATGTATGGGTATATGCATATAAGTTTTGCTGTTTAAACATGGCAGAAATATAAACAATGGCTTTTAAAATATTAAAGCACAAAAATGGGCACAATAGGTTTGTATGTATACCAGAAATCAATAAGAATAATGAAAAGTGAGAAAGAAGTGATAACTTAAAGAAGAAGAAAAACAACATTCTTCTATTTTTTTGAAACCCTGAACGGCTAACTAGCAGACTCTGAAAGATTGAAGGCAACTGTAAGAATCTGTATGACGAAATCTCACCGATGTTAAGACAATCACATCAGATAACTCCAGACAGCACTACTCACATCTATTGAATATTTGCCCCTGGAATTGAGTGCAGAATCTACATAACCATATTTGAAGATTCTTCTCCAGCCTCACCATAGAATGAGGTCTTTATGTGCACTACAAAGATTATCAGTAAATGCTCTATTCTCAGCCTGATCTTACTAGAATTGGATTTCAGATTGGAAATTCAGTTTTCTTTTCCCAGGGTATAAGCACTGGAATTTGCTAGTTGTTGATAATTTGATTGACTGCCTTTTTGGTTTTTTGTTGTCCTCTGTTTTACTTAGTAGTGATTCTTTAATTTAGTTCTATATGCACGGAAACAAATCTTGTCATTAAAAGTAAAATGATTTAGATCTCTTTTTCCTTTTCTCTATGGAGCAAGGATTTGAGAATAGTCCATAAAATGCAAAATAGAACATTTCAGTTCATTTGTGTGACTCAACTCAACCTATCACCAAAACGGAGAGAAAAGTATAAACTGAAAGAATACAGAGAAGCAAAGACATGAAGATGAACAATAAAACCAAGGATTTGCAATATACATGAGGGATAGGTACTATCTTAGTGTATGTATTATAAATCTAGACACTGTGATGTGATATGTTTTATCTCCCAGGGTGCCAGTTATAAATGTAGATGAGATATGAACACACTGTAATATGCCAGCTCTCTTCTGAACGTAGGTTTTTGCCATTCTTCACCAGTGCAGCAAACTGTTTCTGTTTTGGTCATTTCTGTGTCTTTAGCTGTAGCATAATGCCTAAAGCATCATATATTTTATAAATATTTAGTGCAAAAATAAATGAACAAATAAATTAATAAAGTCTCATGCACAGAAGTCTTACATTAGAAGTTACCACTTCTCTTTCAGAGTCAAGAAGAAAGAAAAGAAGTTTTTAAAATGTTGCTATTCTTGTTGACATCTTGAAGTGACAGGTGGTGACAGAGGTGAAAATAAAGTCTGTATAGTTACCATAGCCCCTTTAAGATTATAAAGATTAACAAAATCATTAAATACAATTTTAAGGAATGAGAGAAGTACTATCTACAATACAAGTACTATCATATAGGCTTTTCCAAGTAAAAACAGACTTTTCTTTAAAAAAATGAGGAGAAAAGAAGTCATGTAGCTTTTCAATTATGCCAATATCATCATCATAAAGGGGCCCTGAAAAATAGGATATTAGTTATGCTTTATAACATCTATCTGATACTGATTTCTAGTGTAAACTGGACAAGAAATAGTTTTCTGTTGACCACTCAACCATATCTACATTTGACTTTATGGTTTGGTAGGGCATCTAAACATTCATTTATGCTGCATTTAAAAATTGTTTTCAACAGCACTAACATTCTCTAGAGTATTTGTATATTTAAAAAATATTTTTGAAATTCATTGTTCTCTTAATTTCTCAGACACTATTCTTCACTAGTTTTTTTTCTCTCCCATCTCTGCTCATTTCTTTTCACTTTTATAAAATATCTCACATCTTCATATCCCTCAAGTATCATTTCTGTCCTATGCATTCCTTTACCTCCATTCAGCATAGTCTTTCAAGGGATCTTGTACATTCATTTACATTTCATTGTGAATTATATATTAACAAAACCTTGAATGATCTATTTAGCCTACATTGATATCTTGAATCTTAGGCCCATACATTCAACTTGACTTATAGTCAGCAAGACTTATAGTTTTATGTCTTATAGCCAGCTCAAAATCAGATCTATCTTTTTTACCATATCTGCACCTCCTCTTTTTTTCTGTCTCAGTAACTGTTTTATTTATGACCCTGGTGCTCAAGATAGAAATCTCAGTATTAAAAAAATTGACAGTACTCTTTACCTCAGCTATTCCTCAGAAGCTGTGTTCTGTCAGTTTTACCTACTAAAAAAAGTCTCAAACCTATTCTAGAAGTTCCTGACTCAGTCACTGATCTCTAAATGAACCAATTAAATGATATAATGATGGTACATACTGCTTTGCAGAGTCATTTCAGTCATTTTCCAAAACCTTTGCTCATGCTTTTTAAGAGTCATGCTTTTCAAAGCTTCTCTGAAGAATGGCATATCAGTAGGGTATCATGGCCATTTATTATCAGATAGTACTTTGCAACTAATTTAGAAAATACACTTGGAATGGTTTGTTTACTCTAATGAAAATACTTATTTTCCACCACTTTACTCAAATATCCAATAGCATATTTGAGATTATGAAACTATCTCTTACGTGCATTGTACCATTCATTCAAAGGACATTAATTGAACTATTATATCTGACCAGTGTACAAGATTATTTCCATTTCAAAAAGCTTACAGCTTACTGGGAAAATAAAAGAATAAGCAGATGATTTCAATAATGTCAATTTCAATTGCACTATCATAATTTCAAGGGAGATCCTGAAAAGTTGATTACACCTGAACATTAACTTCATAAGAGTATGATGAACTTGTAACTAGAGGAATTATTAGAATACTATAAATAAAAGAGTATTGGAATGTTTTTAAATAATTAAAAAAATCTAACTCTGGAATTCATATTATTGTGTTTAGGGAAATGGTCAGACATAGGTTTTTGAT